ACCGTAGTTGAATGGCTTTGAATAACATGATATTAAAGGCTATGAGACATTCTCTATTCGAGACATATCATTGGAAAAAAAGCAGATATATGCTTATTTCCTTTTCTGCAAAGAAAAAAAAATAAATAAATAAAAATAAAATAAAAATGAAGTAAAAGATTACAAATGATAATGTTACCGTAATCTACTTGACGCTTCCCTCTTGGCTTTCGCGCAGACAAATATGCGGAAATAGTGCTGCAATTAGAGAGCTACAGAATATGGGTAAATGGTAATTTTAATGTTGATTTAGATCTTACGCAGCATATACACAGCCCACACTTATTGAGTAAAGACAATTTTCTAATTTTCTGGATCTCAAATCTATTAAAATTTTGGCCACTATTTATGTATACCAGTGTTAATCGGGAAAACAAAACATATCAAAATATTGTGCTCTAATTAAATAATTTGTTTAGTTTAAAACATCTCTTCGTCACTGAAAAGCATCTCCTGGAAGACTAATCTTTTGTTCTTCGCCATTTATAAAACTTAATCGAACTAAGCTTCCGAATAAAATATTGCAGTTATTTTGATATTTTAAGCGAGAAAACTGATATTTGGATTTATACTAAACACAAATTGGCGGAGCTCGTGAGCAAAAAAAAGCTTTTTTATTTTTGGCCTTCATCAAAGCTTACAAGCAATAACGAAAAGTGTTGGAGTACAAGAAGACTTTTTCAATGTTCAGTTGATTTACCTCCTTTCTTGAGCAGGGTCCTGTCTAAAAGTTTGTAGAATTCTTTTATTGGTCAGTGTAGTCGCTATATCCAATATAATATTATACAATAACCAAGAAATATGACGGACGCTTTTGTGTAAAAATGAGTGACAACAGTTTGCAATGCTACTGGTTGCCATCAGCCTCTTACAGGGGCACCAAGACAGGTCTTAAGGAGGCTGTGCCGCCGACAAGTTTAATACTACTTCACATACTGAAAAAGTGTCTGTATCTCGTAATCTTCTATTGTTATCAAGACCTCGATTACTTAAGGGCTCTTCAAGTTCTTTTAATAAGGAAAGACGCCATTAGAGCCATTGGGGTGCATCTGTGACCACATTCCAAAGTAACAAGTTTTTTATGAGTGATCACATTTATTCGCGAATTTCTTTACTGTGAGATAACCAGTTAATTTTTGCAATAAACATCAATAAACATTCAATTTTTATTTTTTTACCCTTCTCTCTGGTCCTCAAAGCAAAAAATGAAAATCCTCAAGAGTCAAGGTACAAGGGGCTGAATATCGGATCTTTTCAAAGAATCAGTTTTTGGAAAGGCTGAACGATTTTATCGCGTAACAGTTTGCTAAATTTAATAACTTCAAGAACTTTACAGACAGATGCATTGTGAATTTGTCCGTAGTAATAATAAACAATATTTTTCTATTTATTCCTTCTTGTGTCTCCAGTTTCTGTCCTTACAAAAAACATTTTTAGAAATCAAGCGTTAAAATACTAGTTATTTTTTAAAAACTCATATTAAAAGTATTATTGAGTAAATTTGATAGAAACAAATTTTTCAGTGCTAGAAAAGTTACTAACAAACGTGACTGTACTTAACTTACTCCTCTTTGCCAATTAAAAGGTAGGGCGTATTAATCTTGGCAACAGGTATCTTGTTTTGACAGAAAATCGTAACTTCTCGTTTCTCCCGTTCCTCTTTGATTATAATGACATTAAAAAGTGTTATTAGACGACTGTCTGAAAACCATAAAATGTTTTGGCTGGTGGTGATTTGATCACCGCATACAGAATAGTCTTTTATCTTTTTTCTTTTAGCTATTGAAACAATTCAAAAAGATTAACCAGTCCAAAAGACACAAATTTCGCACCTCTCCAGTTTCCAAACGAAAAAAGAAGAAGACTGTAAAAATATGCTGTTAGGAAGTCCATTTTTTACTCTTTCTTCCCATTGCACCTTCGCTTTACTCTTTCCACTCTCAAATACATATCAGAATCTATAATTCAGATTGCAAATAGGTCGTTTTCTAGTGATTTTGTGAGGAAAATGGAGGAATGGTTTTGCAGTCAGCGGGGAAACTAATAGGGC